AAAAGAAATCTCATTTTAAAACTGTACTGTTTACAAGGGGAATGATTTCTTTACACAACCTAATACTTTTTAGACTATGGAGATGAAGAGTTCAAATATTATGCAGAGAAGTACGAAACATAAACAAAGCTACAAAGGACTTCAGCACCTAACTACTACTTAAGCAAAGATCAGTTTCGCCAGATGCCCAAATCTTAATCGGTGACAATAAAATTTAGGGTTTTCTTGGCTTGGATCTCAAATCTCAATTGGTAATAACCAAGAATTGCTTGAATGAAGGGTTTCTTTTCCATATTTTTGATTCTCACCCCATTACTGAGAAAATAAAAATGCCAAATATCCTTTGAAATAGTGTGGTGAATTCAGAATCAGTTTCTCTAATCTTCCCAGAATGATCAATGACATTTCAAAATACCAAAGCCTTTATGAAGAAGTTAGGGCTGGAAGTTGAAATCGATAGTCAACTAACCTGGTGTAATCACCGTGATTGAGAGCGTCGAGGTCGAGTTACGGAGTTGCGAATTGGAAGTCGTGCGACCTGAGGCTGGAGTTTGTCGCTGGTGCCTGATGAATCGATGTCGTCCGAACTGCCGAAGTCGGAGTCGGAGTCGGAGTCGAGAATACTGTAGAGATGAATAGACGTTTGAGTTTGGGACTTCAATTGAGAGAGCCCATAGCCCAGGCCCATATCGATTTTATAGAAGTCCAGGCCCAGTCTGGCAACACATGGATCAGTTCAGTTCGGTTAGTAAGAAAAATATGAACCAAACCACAAGAGATGGATACCTGATTATCTAAACCAAAATCGAACTGTAGGTTGAATCAAACTGTACTGAACCAAAATAAGACGGTTATCCTCGATCCGGTTCACAGTTATCCGAATATATAAAAAATATTATTTACAATATAAAAAAGGTTCCGAAATATAACACTTAAAACAATTACACAACAAATAAACACCTAAAGTTCAAAACCGAAACCGACCAGTGAATACCTCTTTTTTCTTCTGTTTTTTTATTTTCGAATTTTTCGGTTTTTTGGTTTCAGATTAAATGATTCGGCTCGATTTCTTAGTTTTCCCCTTTTTTTAACACCAATAATCATATCATCTAGTTGTTACGATTCTTTTTGTTTTGGACCATTTAAAAAGATGTAAGCCATGAATTGAACCGAAATTGATCAATTCAGTTTCTTTGGTTCAAATACTTTCACAATTTGATAATTCTGAGTAAGATAAATTGAACTCTTAGCTATAACTATTTATACCCATGTGGCAATTGGAACATTCATCATGTTTAACATAAAATTACTTAGTAATAATGACGATATAAGAGTTGTTTTTTTATATTATTAACGTTCAAGATTTTTACAAAGTCATAGAAGTTTTTGGTCCAATTCAAAGTTATATGTCTTTCATAGTTTGTCCTTATATTATGTCACTTCTATGTAGAGATTTGAACCCGAGCCGGGCTCAAATCGGTATAGGTCCCAAACACTATTCCCATAACCGGTCCTGGAGTAACTGATCTCTGCCTCAGTCCTGGTCCCAACCACTATTCCCATAACCGGTCCTGGAGTAACAGATCTCTGCCTCAGTCCCGGTCCCAACCAAAAACCCAAGGTCCGGTTAAGGTACTTTGTAACTGGTTATGAGGACTGGTCCCGGTCCAGTTGGGCCCAAATCGGTCCTATGTGTTCTAAAAGAAGTCGTTTTTTACATAATTTTCTTTTTTCGAAGTTATTTTAAAGAATACAAAAGTGTTATTCTAATACACTTGAAAATATGTAATTGGTTCAGTTAAATACACTTAAAAAATACGTTTTTTGCGAAAATACGAGCTGAAATCACAAATCATAACAAGAATTGTGAACTGTTGTGAGTTGGTATCTTCTCTCATACATCATATGCTTTATATATAGTGAATAGAGGGTAAATCAGACAAAAAAAAGGTCAAAATGGGAAAAATGGTCATATGGTCGTTGGATATCGAGTATCGATAATAAAACAATAATATTTTTGGAAAATCAGGCCGGTCCTGGTACTCCGCTGGTCTCAGGCCAGGTCGGGCCCATTTGACCATCTTTACTTCAATGTATCTCATCAGTCATTTTGCTTTATTCGGATCCATTAGTATGTTTCTAGATTTATTCTTACGTTATTTTAGAACCAAAAACTATCATGTGGAAAAAGAAAACATACACTAAATACAAATTTTAAAGACTTAAAAGAGTCTTGTGGCACTTTAATTGTGAACCATTTATTCAATTCTTCTACTTTTGTCTTGTACCTCTTTTCCAAATTCCATGGAAACTACGTTGTTTATGAAAATTCAACATATAGTGACATTGTTTTAAGAGTGAATTGCACGGAAGGTCCTGTGATTTGCTCAATTTTGGATATGGTCCTTAAACGCATTATCTACGTCGAAGGTCCCTAACATTTTATTTTCATAATACTAGTGGTCCCTCATGTTAAAACCGTTAACTCGAAGTCCGTTAGCCACCCCATGTAGTCCTCATGTGAGGGGCAATTTCGTCAACATTTGATTTGATAAATGTTCATTTTCATCTTAATTTCATCTTCTTTATCTGCCTTTAAGTTCATTAAGGTAATTTATTATAAATCTTAATGTTCATCATCAACAAAATCAAGAACAAACCATTTGATAATAATGGTTTAGGCGTTGATGATACCAAACGTAGATGTGTGAAGATTGTAGGTGTGCAGTGTCACAAAAGAAGGCGTGTGTATGCCGCTGGAGAATTTTTGGTCCAATTTAAAGTTACATGTTTTTCATTGCGTATGTGTCACTTCTATCTATTATCATCAATTGTTGTTTTATTCGGGCCCATTAGTTTCTTTTCTAAATTTATTCTCACGTTATTTGAGAATAAAAAACTATCAACATTACGAAAAAAGAAAACCTCCATTAAATACAAATTTTCAAGACTTAAGAGTCGTGGGACATTTAATTGTGGACCAAATATTAAATTCTTCACCTTTGTCTTGTATTTCTTTTTCCAAATTCCACAGAAACTAAGGTGTCGTTTACCAAACGTTTATCCGGGTAAGCCCTTACTAAGTCATACTACCTCACCGGATGAATATGGTAAGGACCAAAAATCTTACCCGGTAAGAGCGAGATAAGGACCAAGAGTCTTACCCGGTAAGTAAGGACGACGCCTCTTACCACGGCAATCGCTTACCGGATACATTTCTCTTAATACCTCTTAATCATAATTCATCATCTATCACATGGTTCATATTTTGGGGTTAGAAAAGATTTGTTAGCAAAAACTATTCATCTTTTATATTATTGTAAAAAAACTATTATCTTTTATAATTTTGCAATAGTACGACCGATTCAGATTTCAGACGTAAAAACAATCTTACTGATCTAAATTTCAGACTTCAGGACTACCTCTTATAAATCATAAGTGAAATCAAACTTCAGACTTCATTAGCTCTTAAAAAACAAACGCCACCATACTCTTATGATATAAACAAAATGAAATATGGTTGTTTGGTAACTGTTTAAAATTAAAATTAGGAAGCCGAATGGTTAAGGGAGGCCCAACATACAAAATCATTCAGAGAGTTTTATAACCATTAAGAAACGTATATAATTTTTGTCAAACAAAACTCACCTCATAGCAACTCAGAGACTACTTCTTAATGGAATTAATAAGAGGTAAACAAAAAATAATTTATATTTGTTTAACAASTAATACCTGGATATTTAAAGCTTATTCCATCACTTAATAATGGCGAATGTGGATAGGTTTCATTTAGKGTATAAACAAGATGGTGCTAAGCAGGTTAGCATTTAAAATCGATTGATACGAAACATATTAATTGAAGTTCCTTAGATTTTTCTCRTGGCTGTTGTTCGAATTTCAGATGAAGAAGACAAAGTTCGAGGTCAAATTTAAGGGATTGGTTCTAACCTTGGGCATCAAATTCACTTGAACTATATATTGAACATATAACCCAAATAATAATTAGAAATCGACTTATCTGGATCCATTTATTAATAACATGGTAATAGTAATTACAAATTGATTAAGACCTGCATCCAAGTCTTAGTCTTGGAAATCTACTACTTGTAACTCAAGTAGCATACAAACCTTCACACTTGAGACTATTATATAAATAAACCTTCATTGSTTCATGGATGCATCAAAACAACCACTTCCTTAACAAATCAAATCACCAAATACATATACATCAATTTTCATAGATTAAGCCATGATTTGGTTTTACTTTGTTCTTATTATTATTATTATGCTCTTGCTATGCCCAAACACTACAATTCTTGCCAATTGTTCTTCTATTGGCAACCAATCAGCAGCAGCAACAGATGGTAATTATGGTGGCATCAACAAGTCATGCTTCCACATATAGAAACAAGCCCTCCTTCATTTCAAAGCTTCCCTTCAAGACCCCCTTGGCCAACTCTCTACATGGAGACCTGCAGAAGATGATGATTGTTGTAAATGGAGTGGAATCACCTGCAACAACCATACAGGTCATGTAACAGAGCTTGACCTGCAGTTCTATAATCTTGAAGGTGAGATTAGCCCGTCATTGCTTAACTTAACCTACTTGAATCATCTTGACCTTTCCAGAAATTCTTTCCACGGAACCATTCCCAACTTCATTGCTTCCATGACTCAATTAAGGTATCTCGACCTTTCCGATAATTCTTTCAATGGAAGCATTCCAAACTCCATTGGTTCCATGACTCGATTAAGGCATCTTGACCTTTTCTTCAATATTTTACATGGAACCATTCCCAGGTCCATTGGTTCCTTGACCCAATTAAGGTACCTTAACCTTTGTTACAATTCTTTCAATGGAACCATTCCAACTGAATTTGGAAACCTCACAAACTTGCGAAATCTTTCACTTGGAAACAATGAAAGATTATCTACGATTCAAACCCTGGATTGGTTGTCTAATCTTTCTCATTTGCAACACCTTGATATGASACTTATYTCCCTAGCCAAAGYARATCACTGGATAGATGTCATTCTAAGTCTCCCAGAACTATCATATTTAAGTTTAGAAGGATGTGAGCTCTCAGAGGTCATGCATCCATATTCTTCATTTGTCAACTCTTCTTCTTCTTCATCTGTTCAATTTCTGGATCTCAGTGGTAACAATCTAAACTCATCCATGTATCATTGGTTGTTTCTATTAACTAGCAATAGACTTCTCTCTCTGGATCTCTCTGGGAACATGTTAGATGGGATACCCAAATCTCTTGGAAATCTCTGTAGTTTGACATCTTTATACTTCGATATCAACTCTGCAGTTGTCAATTTTACAGATTTTCTAAACAACTTGTCTGGATGCACATCGGTTACATTGCGAGGTTTGTATGTGCCGTCTAGTCAACTTACAGGGTCATTGCCCGACGAGATCCACAAGTTTTCATCCCTAGAATATTTGGACCTATCTCATAATCACTTAAATGGGACTATGAGTGAAAAGGTGTGGGAACTACCCAATCTTCAAGGTCTATATGTCTCTTCCAATTCTCTTGTTATCACTCCAAACATTGGAAAGTCAAAGGTTTCGTATATAGATCTTTCAAACAA